CCCCGCGGCCAACCCGCGGCCGGCGCCGGGCCAGGGAGGCCGATCCGCGGGCGGGGCCCGGCGGCAGGAGGCACGGCTCCGCGCAGCTCCTCCGCGCCCGCGCTAAGTCCGGCCCGGCATCGAAACTCCGGCGAGGGCTCCCGGAAAAAAAAATATATATAAAAAATAAAAAAAAAAATCAAAATCCACAGACACGCACGCGAAAAAAAATGAAGATGAAACCCTGGAGGGGGGGCGGCAATGACCCAGTCGGCAAAAAAATACGGTTCCGGCAATTAAATAGGCACGCAGAAGGCAGCTCCTGCCAAGCTTGCAGCTTCTGTTGGATTGTGTATTCCTACCGCGGCGCAGGGGAGGCAGGCGAGCGCGCAGAAAGTAAGGCGCCTCCCACCACAGCCTAATGGTGGTTTCTTAATGCGCACAAGATAAATAAATGATCCAGGCAAACCCCTCGGGAGGATGTATGCTACGGCAAACGGAGCCTAGGAAAGGAAGGAAAGGAAAGAAAAAGGAAAAAAGAAGGGGAGGGGGAGCGCCTGGCCCCATCCTGTGGTAGCGATCCCATAGGCTGCTGCTCGGTGTCAAAAAAGACCTGTGTGGAGGGAGCGGCAAGGGGGGTGCGAGGGCATGAGGGAGGTGGAGACACCTTCAGAGAGGATTCCCAGCGAATGACCAGGGCTCAGAACAAGGAGATGTTTTCCGACGCTGATGCTACCCTGTAACTAACAACAAGCAGCATTTTGTTGTTGTTTCTAAATGGGATTCCCTAAAGGAAAACAAACCCCATCAAACACCTGCAAGAAAAGGATGGTCCTTTTCAGCGCCCGGGGGGCACCTGATGGCACAGGCACGTACTGAGGTTGCAGCTCTCAGGACGCTCCCAGCCCACCCCAGCTTTTCCATCTACTGGAGTTGAACTCCAAGTTCAACAGTGTCTGCTCTCTGTCCACTTACTGGACAAAATATTTAAACAGCTGCGATGGTCACTGAAGGGCTAACAGCAGTGTACCAAAAGTGGGTTTATCACCATTTTCAAAATTTTAGAAAATCGTCTATAAAATTATATATGTACAGATGCTTTTAACCCTTTCTTCTGACCTGTTACCTCATTGGTGTCATTTCCTGATATTGACACGTAAGTATAATTTCCTTAGTCATGTATCTAAAAACATATTGATATTTATACCAAATAATTGAGCAGAAAAGTTGCAAACAAAGTATGAAATACATTTGTTCTGTAAATACACAGACAAATATAGAAAATAAAATATTGCAACTGAAACGTATCTGCTTGAATTTTTCTTCAGAATGAATGTTAATAGCATTTATAATATAATATCAAAAATACATTAACTAAGCATCTAGATTCTTGTCACTTCAAACAATCCAACTGGAGTTTGGCAGCTTCTCTAAGATAGGTCTGTGCTAACAGCTATTAGAAAAATGTGTGGAAGTGGCTTATTAGGTAAGTGGATTGTTTAAACACTTTTTTATTAAAAAAAAACCCTTTCACATTGGGAAACATGAATATATGGGTTTTTAATCCTTCGATGAAGAGGCAAAAGGATTAGGAGAAACCATTTAGAAACAACCACATGAACATGGCCCAGTACACAAATGGATGCCCGGTAAAGCAAGCAAATGGGCAAGACAGGGAAGTCTTGGGAATCCAGGGAAGCTTTGTCACTGATTTTATAGAATCCAGGATTTCTTATGGAAATCTACAGCCAGGTAGTTTGAGCCCATCCCGCACACTGCTCACCTTCCTTGCAGACTATGAATACCTTTGCCCTGTTCTGGGCTTTACGTTCCCTGCACAAATGTCCTTTAGCTCTTGCCTCTTCCACAGCCCTACTGCTGTTCACTGAGCTCCATATGAATCATTCTTTGTACTAATTCCCAAACAATTTGTACATGCTTCTTAGGAGAACAGAACACAACAAAAATGTTTTATAACCTTCACAAGACAGAGAGCTTTTACTTTTTTTCAAGACTATGTCCTGAAATCTTTCAGTGTTTCATCTGTCTCAACTGCACTTCTCCCCCCAGTAAGATTTTCAAGCTGTCAGCTCCTGAAGGAGTTTGTAATGGTTCTAATGGAAGACATCAGGATGTGATACCATTAAGATGACTCAAGTGTAGCTATTTCATTGTTTAATATTGAAAGACTTCCTGTATTATGAGTAAAGATTTTCAGGCTTCTTTTCTTACAATTTCCCACTCTTGTCATTGAGGGTTTACAAACTATTCTTGAAATTGATTGTAGAATGCTCTCAGGATGCCCTACTTAAGTGAATTACTTAAAAACAGGTATTCCCTTGATAAGTTAATGAAGGTCTTGCCATTGACTATTATCCTCTTTGAAGAAAGTTCTTTGGTCTAAAAATATGAAATGGCTTGGATCTTGATACAGGAAGCTCAAAGCAGCTTTCCCTTAACCCCACAGTAAATGCAAATGTATTTCAAAGAGGTTATCCTTCAGTTAAAAAAAAGGAAATGCTGTGCACCTAGACAGACACTTGAGTACAGGCAATGTATGGAAACCTCTTCCTGTAATAATTTAGTCATGAGTTAAAATGTTATGATGTGTACAAAAACACAGTCTCTGAATGCTTCTAGATTATTTCTCTGTCCTCAAAAATTAATATTCAAATCATAATCAGTTTCTCAAATCAGCCCACTCTTGCTAAACTGAATCTGTTCAGTGCATTAATTCTAATTTACGTAGGTATTTGGTAAATTTCACTTGCATTGCTTCCTACTCATTCTGTATCATAGCCCAACTCTTTTGCTTTTTCTGGAAATATGTTTATCATGATCAGAAAACAACATATAATTTCTTTTTCTTCACTTACTTTTCTTCATAATATGCAAAAAAAAAAGTCCTTAGTATCTCCTTGAGGACATCTGTGACTGGGATAGAATAAAATTATATATCCACAGTGGAGGCAGAAGTGGTATTTTCTGAAGGACTGGTGTGACATACACATAACAGATACACTGTTTATGCATATATTGCCTAGTTTGCCACAGGGGGTGTTACATTTTGGCTGTGCAGTAGGTATGCCACAGCTAATGGTTCTGTTACCACGCCACTGTTCCTGACTGGCTTCACACATGCCTCCATACAGCAAAACCACATACAGCCACATAGTCTTCAGATGGTGAAATGTAATAAAGGAGTTAACTGAGTTAGTTTTACTTGGAAATTATTAGATTTATCAAGGAATCAGTCCTAGAAATCTCAGGATAACTATCCTCAGAATAGCCAACAAAAGAAACCGAAATTCAAAACTGGAAAATAAGACCCTTTTAGAGTCATGTCCATTTCAGCAGCAAAAAAATATGCGAGATGCCGATATTCCAATCCCACATACACACACAGTTAGAAGCCTTTCTTTCCTCCCCAACTTTACAAAATATCTGAAGACATTCATTGTTAATTCATGTAAATATTACCTGAAGCTGTAAGCAACAAAATCTCTGTAGTTATTTGGCTTTATGGTGCTATCAGCCACTGAGAGTATAAACAGTCTATCAAAATTGTGACTTCCTCCAGCCCCCACCTCACTCCCTGTGTTCTGGCAGTTTGGCAATTGGATGTGGCAAACAAAAAGGAATTTCACAAAGAAATTTGCTGGAGTTGGGACTGGTTAAATCAATAGGTGTTATGCTGAAGGGATATCTTCCCAAACTAGGGGGTTTGAATATTGTTTACTTCATTCTTTCTCTTAGCTTTTATCCCCAGCTCAGCTACCACATACGTGTCCCTAATGGTTGGTTCACAGTCAAGGAAAACCTTGCTTTTTGTCTGAGGTTGGCATGTGACTCTCTTCCTTCTTCCATGTGAAACGTATAAATAGTGTTCTGTTGATCCCATTGACCAGTGCTCACAACTAAAGTGCTCTTTCACACTCCGATTGCTAAAATAGCCATTACACAAGACAAACAGACTGAGCTTTATTCACCTGTGGTGTTGTCAAGAGAGTTGGGCTATATACCTGTGGCGTAATGTAGAGCCCAAAGTATTCCTCCTTGTATTTTTGCACAGGATGTTAGGAATGCTTCTGGTGCCCAGGAAGAACGGCACAAGTCGCAACAAGTGAGAAATCCACCACGGAGTTCAAAAGCATGGCAGCAATTTGAGGCGTTAGCAAGCTGCCAGTTAGCATTATGTCAGTCTCAGACAGGTGTGAGATGAGTGACAGTTAATTTTGGAATTAGGATAAGAGTCCGCTCGCTCTCACTGCAATATAAACTCCGAACAACAATCAAGTATAAACAAGTATGCTGATCCCTCCTCAACAGTCAACATGTCCTCGGTTTTTCAAATCATGTGTAGCCTATTTGCAAATGCCAGGACTGCCACTAAATATTTAGAATTACACTTGAATGTACACCAATATATATACAACTCAAATATTTATCTTGACATGGTTCGTAATGATTCATTGAAATACGTCATAACATCAGCAAAAAATCCCACACCCCAAATCCTACAAAACATGTTTCAATCAGGAAATATTAGTAAACTGAGTACATTCCTTGGAGGAATTTGTTACTAAATAACTGAAACCCTAAAGACCTGATTCACTTTTTTATCAAGTCACATTCCCAATATTCTTCACTTTTAGCTGACTGTAAATTCTAAAGATTTCAGTGGGAGAAATTCTGTTTGACAAGAGTAAAATCAAAGTAATTTTTTAATTTTGATTTTAGTGGTATTGTATCAGTCCCTTAAGAACACACTTAATAATGATTTCAGACTGAGAAGTATAGTGACTAGGCTGAACAATGCCCTTGTGATACACTGAAGCCACTGCAACATAACAGAAATGCATATATTACTTTCCAAGCCTTTGCAACCCCTGAGATTTTCATCAGGAACATAAATTTAGGATGCTAGAGGAAGAAAAATTTGAAGCAAATACAGAAAATGCCATCAAAAGGGCTTGCTCCAAAGTACAATGAAGTCAGCAGAAATCTTTCAGTGTATTCCACTCCATCTTGGACTAAGCCCTAAACCGAAATTCAAATCTTTCCAAGATTTAGGACAAAACGATGACAACAGCAAGTGAGAAAGCCCGTGAAGCAATCAGTCATCAACAGACAATACTATGACTCACTTCCTATATTTTTTTGCTGAAAATCTACACTTTTTCCATGCCAATTACTACACCTGATTCCAATTAATCAGGGAGAAAGGGAATATATGCTATATTTCAGACTTTGGCATCTTTCCTTTTTTCTTTTCAAAATTATTTGCTGCCCCATGTAACTTCTGCCCAGTGCAGAGAACACTGCTGCTAGGTGTTGGTTGGTGAATGATCTGGCTGCAGATATTGTCACATGACATAAGATATATTTTGGAAATTCTCACACTTTTACCAGTCTGTCACAGGGAATAATGAATAAATATTTCGATACCTTTAGTTCTGCTGTCCATTGTACAAGCTCTAGTCTTTGCAGAAAGGTGGCAAAG